AAATGGCCATTGTTATATTATAGTTCGTTTCTGTGTGTGTTACATTTTAATGTTGTGGTTTTGTTGTGTCGTTGTTCTCCTCTTATATTTGATGCGTTTCCCTCAGTTTTAGTTTGTAACCCGGATTTGTTTTTATCTCTATCGATTGATGAGTTTCGAACAGCGGTATACTACTGTTGCCTTTATTTCCCGCCATTCATATCGTTTCCAAAAGAACATATAGCTACACTACATAAGAAACAGATTTTCGATTCGCTCCTTCAATAGACTTTTCAGTGATCTACGAGATATCGTTGAGATGTAAATTGGAATGGGAACCGAATTTTGCAACTATGAAAACAAGATCTGCGAAAAAAACTCAAAAGGCACCAATCACCTGAACCCAAGATTAATGTCAGCAAAGGAACATATCCAGTATTATTAAGTCTACACAATTCCCTCAAGTCCCTGCTTTCTATGTAGACGAGATGAATTGTTTTTTATGAAGTACCCTCTGTACAGTACCGGATTGTTTAAATCAAACTGAATTCAGCCTGGTCAGGTAAAAATGAAACGTGTAAGGTTCAAGGGGAAGTAGTGTATATAAAAATAAGAAGATGTGGTATGATTGCCAATGAGACCAAATGACACAGAAATTAACAACTATAGGTCACCGTACGGACTTCAATAATGAGTAGTCCCTTAGACAACACTTCTGTCAACAGATTTGTTCATAAGGAAAATTTTGTAAGGTGTCACTTAGAGTCGTTTTTGAATGTTGAAATGTATGACTTTTTACTTCAGAGGAAGACGAATCTTCAAAATTGAACATCAGATCGAATTCCTCTGTCGCTCATGTTTCTCGGCTGGTCGGCACGCTATTAATCCTTTTTTGGTTATCTTCCATATATGAACAAATTGAAGTTTTGTTTTAAGATTGGCGATGTAGTTTCATAGAAAACATTCAAATGTGATTTCCCATAGTGTTCATTGGACATAACCTTCTTTGCATCACTGCAACAATCCACGCAAATCTTTTAAAAGCGTCTTTCCACCTTTTTTGAGATAATGAAATGGTATGATAAGCACAACGGGGACCTCTAGAGGAGCAGGAACAGTTACTGCTTAACCTTCTGGGGTATCCGAGTTTTCTCGTTTGTTTGTATTTTGTTTGTGTTGTGTGTTCTTTGGTTTTCTACGTATTCATGGTATTACTGTGTGAACTGTCGCTTGTTTGTCTGCGTGTCGTTGTTCGTTTTTTCATAGCGTTATCTGTTTTTAAAACGTTTATTTAGTGGTTACCACTGTGATATTTTTTATTCTTTTGAAAACAAACTCCGCAAACCGACATACTTAAACCTGTAGTGTTTTTTAATTAGGGCGTTCAATTTAATATATATGCATACTTATCGCTACTTTGTGTATTTTTCCTTTGATCTTTTTTGTGATAATTTTTTCATACCATGCTACATTGTACTAGCTTGAGACTGAAAATTGTCGAGAGTATCTAAGGCCCGTTAGCTACAGCGTGTTCATATAAACACTTTCTTGTTTGAAATGACATTGGCTTATAATTATAAAGTTGACCTAAGATTTAACTATTATGATTTAGGTTCTTTTGGTCATATAGCTCTTCACCTGTTTCGGTTCTTATACATCCTTGGATTTCAAATATTCGACTTGAGCATTTCTGATTAAGGTATCTCCAGAAAAACGCTTCGGACGCACATAATTTATAAAGTGTTGTTTTTTTTTTAAACATATCATATTAATCTCAAAAGAAATTAACTATGATTATCTATATAGAATGAAACATTTCATTTATGTTTAAGGAAAATTTTTCTAAAAATGGGATTAAAACTTTAAATGATCTATGAGATGTAAATACCAAATGTTTTTAGGTAAAATATTCAATCGACTTATCAATAAAAGAAATTGGATGTCAGAGCTGAGTCGAATCAAAGCAGCATTCACATCCGTAATTATCAATGTATTAAAAATCCGAACATAACGTCTCTTCTAACTACAAGTGAGAGGTTTAGCTAGCTGTAAAACCAGATTTAAACTACAGTTTTCTACATAAAAGAAATGCCTGTACCAAGTCAGGAGTATGACAGATGTTTTCCATTTGTTTGATGTATTTGAGCTTTTGATTTTGCCATTTAATAAGGGACTTTCCGGTTTTAATTTCCCTTGGAGTTCGATATTTTTGTTAATTTACTCTTTTTATAAATCGTACAAAGTTAAAAGCTCCACCCATTTACAAAAAAATAATAAAATCAATGAAGTAAAGAAATATGTTTAAAACATATTCAATATATCTTTGATGTCTCTTTTGTACCAAATTGTGAACTAAAATGGAAACTGTATTTTGAATCTGAGTTGCCATGGGAATTCATTTGGGACCGTGTTTACGAAAATTTTGCTAATCGAATAGCAACCCAAGAAGATAGGCTACTAGAAAATAAATAATCTGATGGTATTTGCCACTTCTGTCTAGAAGTAGAAACATTATTTCATCTTTTGACCAACTGTAAATTCGTTAGATCAGTTTTGCAAATTGTATTTGGCCATAACGGATTTATTTGGCAGTTTTATTTTATACATTGCTTGCTCGACCGACAGTTCGCAGACCGGTTACATATACTGTAACAGATGGCTTAATATGCTAGCTTTGGACTTCATAAGCGCGTCTGTATCATTTCTTTCACTATTTTTACTTTTTATAATTGCTTTGCACATTTTGCAACACGACAGGTGACACATGTGGAGCAGAATCTGCCTACCCCTTCCAAAGCACCTGAGATCACCCCCAGTTTTATTTCGACTTATGAGTTTGAATCTCCCTCTGGTATATTTCGCCTCTCTTTTGCAAAGTTATGATTTGTTTAGGTAGGCGATCTCACAAAAAAATATATGAAGGAGGAGATTGGCGATATTTATTTTATTTTTACTTCTCTTTTGTCATTTCAACTATAACATCACTTGAATTTGAAAAATCTTATCAGAATTATTTTCAAATCTTGCCATGGCTCATTGGAAGGACAAAATTGTTTCACTAATCCCAAATTTCCCTGCTATCTAATATACATGTAATAACACATTTTCTAAAACCATTATCAAAAGGTAATTTGTGGTTCGATTTTGATGTTTTTTTTCAGATCAACTGACAAATGCGAATACTTTTTCGTGGTTATTATGAAATATGTTGATGAAGTGTCATGACTGGGAAATCATTACTGATATACTCATATTGAAATTAAGTGTAATTGATTCCTATATGGCTATATGATTTTTTTTCGTACAGAAATTCATATTTGTCTTTAAACAGAGATTTCTCTAGAAATATAAATCATAAATATATTTCATTACTTTTGAAAGAAACTGCAGTCATTTCTGTATGAAATGAAATAATTCTTTTAATTTGGACGAGACAAATTTTCAGTAGAATTTTGATTAAGACTGTGTTTTTATGTGAAATAATAGGGGAATTTCCAAAAAAATGGTAGCTGTACTATTTTGTTACGTTGTTTTAATTTTTTAAGACAGACAGACAGATACCATAAACATACTAATGTATGCACAGCCCAGAGTATGATCTTGTTTTGCTATATTTTATAAAAATAAAATTGACAAAAAAGGTACTGTAATTGTTTCAAAATCATGAAATGCAAATAAAACATCTGACATATAAAATATTTGACAGTTCATATTTAATATGAAATTGTAATACATAAGTAGTAAGACATTACATCAACTTAAATCATATCAATTTGATACATGACAAAAAGCAAATGTGGGCAGAAAAATCTGCCCCCTCTCCCCCTTTACAGATATGTATACATAACTACGTCTAAAAATTGAAAAAAGGGAGGTATACGGGTAGGAATTCAAATTAAACATAAATTGTGTGATAAGAAATACAAGTACACAAGTCAAACGTTAATGATAAAAGGAAGTGAACGCAGAGCACATACACGTGAACTCGTGCTAACCACGCAAGATCATTGAACGCTAAGAACGATGTAATCCAATCATCATGAACTGGTCATTAGTTGAATTTCTCTACACATAAAAACAAGTGTTATCTAATTTCAACAAATTATCATTTAATAAGGTTTCACACGTCTCAACCATCGAGTAGTACAGATACATCATAAATTTAGAATGCGAATATATGTGCTATGTACATGTTTTTTTTTACAATAGTTTTTAGTTGAAGATTTAAAATACTGTAATGACAGTTTTGTAGAGGTTCTTTTGGGTATTGAGCTATACATTTGCAAATTTGATTTGTTTACAGTTTGAGTTTAATTTCTTCTTTCATGATTTGATATTGTTTCTTATACATTGTAGATTCTACCACACTTTCCCGTTGATTGTGATATTTATCAAAGCAAGATAGTTTCAAACATCAAAATTTGAAGAGTAACCATACGGAATTGATAGCTATTGTAGTCGACGCGATTAAGTGGAAAAATCTGTTTCTGATGAGTGAACATGTCTAGTGCAATGTTCTGTTTGGAAATGGCAGAAAATTGCAGGATATAAATGTATCAAATTAACCTTATCTTTGTCAATGCCTTAAAAGAAGAAATTAATACGGTTTTTTTAACCATATTCTAAAATATAAGAAGAATACCATACCGAACTACGGGTAATCTACGACGTCACCATGACACAAAAAGGCATTTATGCATAGCAAGGACTATGTTCTACAAGTTTTGGAATAATTGATCTTTTCAATGGGAAAATAGATAACCTTCATAATGGTCCCAGTGGCCAAGCTTTGATTTAGTTGACCGAGAGCTTTCAAAAAAAGTTTTTGTTTTAAATTTACGACTCGACGAAAAGGTATAACTAGGGAATATATCATCCAACATCACATATTCGTTGTATTTATCAAATGTTACATTCAGTAAATAGTAATTTTGTGTACTGTAGTTACGTTTCTCAGTTCTCAGAATTTTCTGAAAGTTGGAGTCTCTTCAAAAAAGGTATATGTAAGAATAATATTGGCATCACTTAAATATTCCGTTTTATTGAATAATTTTAACAGCCTGTAAGAAGTACTTGAACGTCATCAATGGCTAAATCACTTAGGAAATTACTACCAAGTACTGCTTCAAATGTTATCTGCAATAGAGAACAATAGACGTGTTGCTTGTTCCTTTCATACTCATTCAATACCCAAGGATCGTTGACTCAAGTTTCTTGATACGTATAATTTGTTAAGGTCAAACTTGTACGTGTTTAATCTGTATAAAAATTGAGAGACGGGAACTGTAATATGCACATACATTTAAAAGTAAGATAGATTATCTTAATTTTTTATGTACTGCCCGTCGGGTACTACTAGTGGAGCAGCAACCATTGAGATGACGCCAGGTTTTTGGTGTTGTTCTTGATGTTGTTGTTCAATCTTTATTTTGTATATCCAGTTTTTTTTGTTGACTGTTGTTTGTCTTTTTCGTGGTTTTATTATTTGTTTTGGGTTATAGTGTCGGCAGATACAGATCACATTTTACAGATCACATGGAACGAGATAACTTTGATTTAATTCATTCTGAGTCACATCTCATCTGCAAAAGATCTAGATTTTATGATTTAAAAGGTACCAGACTCGTGTTACATATTATAATGCTGAGATAAGGAAAATGATTATGTAACACTATCTGAAATCGTTGTAACAATTGTTGACATTGTCTTTGAATGCATAGAATTGGTTTAAGGGAGTAGAGAAGACCCAAGGGAATTAACCCTTTTAAAAATCAGCTGAACGGTTTTATCACATACAATTAGTAAAGAGAAATCAAACTTCTCAAAAATTAAAATTAGTGTTTGTCAAACTGCTATATATCAATGAATTTATTCCTGTAAGGTTCAAATTTCTTAAAATTATTATATTTTGGCAACAGGTCAAGGACAATATTTTTTCAAAACATTATGAAAATCAAACGAGCAAAATTTATTTTAGTCAAAGCGTTGGGTACCCCCTGGAGTACTTACAGTGACTTAAATATTGCTGCTACCCGAGTCTGTAGTTAAAAGGCATATATATCTTGACAAAACTTGAACAACACAGGACTATAAGGTAGCAATTTTATGGGATTTCTTCTCACCTTGGAGCTGCTAGAACTATTTGCTTGTAGGCTAATTTCGGCAAGATGCCATTCATCTCCTTGATCTCCTGTTATATTCCAAATAAGACTGCTTCCTTGATATACATTTAAGGTTCCCATCCCAGAACCATCCATGTGGTGATGAAACTTTAGACATCCAGGGTTATCTGCAAATATGTAGCATTCATATTACAACGAAGTCTTCAAGAGACAGACGAGAGATCCCAATGGGATAATCAAACTCATTAGTCGAAAACAAACTGACAATGCCATGTCAAAAAAACGGAAATAATTGCTTATCGTCGTATAGAATGATTTGTAAAATAATGTACTTATTTGATGAATGGCTTTGCGATAAAGTTTAGTTCCCACTCCTATTGCCCTTCTAATAACCCCTTACTATCAGACGAAAATCGGTTAAAATGTTTTTTTAGCTCACCTGGCTGAAAAGCCGAGTGAGATTTTCTCATCACTTGACGTCCATCGTCGTCGCCAGTTAACTTTAACAATAAATGAAGAATATGTCCATGGGACACAGATGATGCCCCCGATTGTATATAACGCTATAAAGGGACATAACGCATGAACGGTTACGGGAAATAACTCAGGAACGGTAAAAATAACATCATCAAAATTCGAACTTGATCTGAGTTTTGTGGTCATAAGTATTATGTATAACATTTGGTTGAGGCAAACTTAAGTTAGAGAACGGACTTACAGACGGACAAGGATAACACTAAATGCCCCCTCTGAAACTACTAGGCCAAATTTAAACAAACTTGACCGCAATCATTATAAGGGTATCTAGTTTTAAAAATATTTCCGATGACCCTGCCTGTTAACCAAGATGGCCGACATCGCTAAAAATAGAACATAGTTGTAAAATGCAAGTTTTACCTATTATTTTGAAAATTGCTATAAAAAGAGAAAATCTGACTGTAGCAAAATTGTTAAGAATGTTGAGCTCTACCTTGTCATTTTACGTCAAAACTGTCAGACGACTTCTTATAGGAGTCATTTACCTTTAATGATGATTTTTACCAACGTTTTGCGTAATTCATGTGATTGCCTAATATCTTAAAAACTATAATACATAGATAGAATCTATAAAAGGAAAAATGATCAGCACGAAAGGATCTACAAATAAGTCAACATAGCCGAAATCTTCAGTCGACTCCTTATAAGAGTTATTGCCCTTTAATGATGATTTTCCCTTTTTTTGTCCAATATTTACGTATTGTCTTGAAAACTGTAGATATATTGAAAACTTCAAATAGCACAAATGATCAGCAAGACAAGATCTACAAATAAGCAATAATGGCCAAAATCTTCAGTCGACTCGTTATTTGAGTTTTGCCCTTAAATGATAATTTTTAACATGCTTATGCATTTTTTGCCTATTATCTTGAAATATATAATAGATAAATAGAAACTTTAAACAGGAAAAATTATCAGCAGGATGAGATCTACAAATATGTCAGCATGACTGAAATTTACAGTTAACTTTTAAAAGAGTTATTCCCCATTAACGATGACTTTTACTAAAAAGTGGCCATTATTGAAGATCCAGGTGAGCAACACAGGGTCTTTAGAGTCTCTAGTTCCAGCATATCCCCATTTTTACTCAACCTCTAACCCAGGTTCCCGTTCCCTGACTTCCGCTTCCTCTTGACTCTCGGTCCCTAATTCTTATGTTCCCTTACCCATGTTCATCCCTCTTTCATGTTTCATTTTTGCACGTTACAGTTTACTTGGCTATAAGATAAGAACTTCATATATGAACATTTTACTTGTTTAAGAAAAACTAAAAGTGATGTATTAATTCTTATGTTCCCTTACCCATGTTCATCCCTCTTTCATGTTTCATTTTTGCACGTTACAGTTTACTTGGCTATAAGATAAGAACTTCATATATGAACATTTTACTTGTTTAAGAAAAACTAAAAGTGATGTATTAAATGTCATTATTGTTGAAATTTTGAAAACAATTACTTCAATAAATTAACCTAATGATTCCCCTTCTATATAGCATATCAAAGTATCAAGAATACTGATGATATATTGTGAATACATAAGTTAAACTATTTTTTAATTCTGATTGCAATTGTTATAGCAAAATGTCGGTCGAGAGCGAATTTAAATTTATAAGTTTGAGAGTAACACATACATATAAAAGTTCAATAATTTTACCAAAAATGAAGTCACGTGACAGTAACCTTGCAACATCTCCCTCATGTTTGTTTGATGACTCCGTATATAAGTAGTAATCACCTTCATATGCTGACGACGGACCAGTACGTGAAGTGGATGTTTTGCCCTGCTTTGCAAAAAACATGTATTCAAAAATCAACGAAATGAAACAGCTTCTAAACGAAACAATAACCGTAGAATTCTGCATAGCAAATTGCCTTTTTAATAATACGAGACATAGTAAAAAAAGGATTAAAAATTGCCATTATTTAATGTGACTTACCTCTCATGTATGAATATAAATGTATATAATCCATAACCTTATTTTTCATCCAACGTGGTTGAAATGTGTACAATAAACTTTCAAAAACGCTTGTTACAAGATCGAAGATCATTTCAATAGTTAGACAAACTAGAATTTGATTTGTTTTTGGGATTTCTAGGGGAAAAAAAAAACATTTACATTCGCATTAACTGCCACTTTTTGTGTTCGATGATTTTTTCATTTCAAAAACGTCAAGGATTAAATTGAAATTATAGGGCATATTTGCATATGACTTTTAAGATAAAGAAATTGGACGCAAGAGCTTATAATTTTTTCCTATAAATGCATCAACCAGACAATGACAAGTTCAAAATGTAGTACATTTTTATATTGTTATATTCTAATCATTTTAACTTTAACAGAGTTATTAGAATATTAGAAGACGTGTCAGTTACTAAAATATATGCACCTGTCGTTATAGGATGTAGATGCAATTCTTTTTTGTGTAGGCAAAAAATTCCACATCTTTTCGCATAAACTTTGATCCCTTTTTTAACAGCCTAGTTGGATATTGGCTATTTAACGCTTTTTTTTTAAATCACTACCCAAATTAACTGGGGATGTTAGACTGAACGCCTAAATGAGAGGTAGTTACAAACGGAACTGTACATGTCTGTATTCACACATTGCAGATTAATTTCAGAAATATTTTTGTAAATTTCTCTCAAACATTCCAACTGGGAGAGGTGAAAGGAATTTATATCGTTCTCTTATATTACCATTATGATCTAATGTAACTCAGCGAATTTGGCACCTCTGTAATTTGAAAGAGACCGGTTTCAAATTGGACGCGGAAATCCAAAATACAAACATCTTTACGTATTATTAGGATTGAAATGAAAGGTGATGTTTCGCATTCAGCTCTTTAATGAAATATTGTTCATAAAAAGCCTATAAATTTAGGAATTTTCCCTCATGTCTGTCTTCTTGCCTTCATATACTGATTGATATACTGTCTAATCACTGTGACTTGTATATTTTGGAATTGCAACAGTGCGTTGAGCAAACAACAAATAATCAATTAATCGTATTCTTTTGAACAAATATCAATTAACTATAGTTTGGCGCATAACTTAAACGTTTCCTTTGATTTTTCGTATAGATTGTTTTCCTGTACTGTTTTTGACGTAGCGTTTTTGACGTAGTTATATGAAATCTCAAGGAAAGCAAAGAATGACTTTTCTATTTGAATAAATTTGTTACAATTACAGATCTTTTATTGTTTCTGAAAAATTATTCCAAACTTTTAAAGACGCGATACGATTTTGTAATTGACATATCGTAATGTCTGGTTGAGGATTTAACACTGCGTTCTAGATGATTTTGTGTTGCTTTGTCAGTCGGTTGTTGTCCCATTGACGTATAACGTGCGTGATATTTTATTAAAATGTATTACCGAATTTAATGTCCAGTCGAAATCGTCATTGAGATTCTGAAAAAATATGGAGCCCATGTTGTTCTCAAAGTTAGCATGATAAACTGAAAAAAATGGTAAATTATGTATTTCAATAACTTTGATACTCTTTAAAATTAAAACTATTGTTCAAAGATAGGGTTATTGAAAAAATTTCGTTACCCTTGTGGTCATTTTATAATTTGAAGTCAATATAGTCGTCCGGAACAGCAATTTACTCAGACTAGGTATTTGAGTATTAGTATAATATCAGAATTGGGTTTCTGGGTTAAATAGACTTTTTTTTTACTGTGAGGATTGGACTTAACCAACAGCACACCTTGCGGACTTCGGGGGATAAACAAGGGCCTGAAAACAGGAATGACAAACACAGTGAAATAGGTTTTAGATCTTCTTTCTTCAAAAGCGCACGAGAAAGTGCCACTTTTGAGACCGACATTCACTTGTTTAATTTCGCGTTACTGTTCCAGGTTCGACCAATCAGAATCGTTAAACACCCAAGCCACCTTAGTTACCCTGAAATTTAGGGGAAAAAGGGGCGTGGAAAGATCTTTGCTGGACAGAACAAAGAACCCTAATTGACCAGGTTACCTAGACATACATGTATGTTGTTTACACAACAACTTGTTTGTGTTCAAAGGAAAATAGGCTTAGTTAAAGAAACATGTCTATTTGTGTCTACTTAGCTTGTCGCTAAACATCTTATATTGATAAAAATAATGCCTAACAAAGAGAAAATCTAAAGTGACAAATGCCAAAATAAATATCTGCTAAATATCTATCGAGAATATAAAAATGATTTTCTTCAACAATTATGAACGAATATAAATCAACATTACTTTTTAATCACAATTGCAGCTTCGAAATAGACTTTAAATAAAGAAATTGAATTAAACTTTTTCCTTTTTGCTGAAAACTTAATTTTCACAAAAATATAAAATGAGCTATAAAATGACTCTATGAAAATAAGACGATGGACCATATTTTATTTTTAGTTACTAGTTTGTGGTGTTTAACGGAAAAACTCATTAAATATAACTAAGTAAAAACATGCTTCATCACCCAGTACAGATGCACCAAGTTACATTTATTTTAGACGAAATTAAGTAAAGTTATGTTGCTTGTATGGACTCCTCTAATAAGACAAGCAACGGATGTCTGATCTAAAATGCTCATGACAAATGAGAGATTTGTTACGCAATCGAGATAAAGTTACCCGATATAATAAGCACTGAAAAAAATACACATTTTCCCCAACAACTATAATGTTAGATGAACATTACATTTTTCACATTCGAAAAAAAAAAAGATTTATAATGAAATTTTCGACGGCATTTCGCAAATAACTAGGCAATGAACTGCCATGGTACAAAATAGCATTTAAAAAGTCAAACCATACCAAAAAAAGAACTGAATTTGGAACAGTCGTCACAACAAATGTTTAAGTACTGGACAAAATGGAAAAGCGTTCGTTCCTTAAGCAGATACCATTCAAATGTCGAGCTCATGGTATTTTTTTTTCACACTCCGAAACAGTGGTAACGTCCTTCTTGCTACGCTATGTTGACTGATAGTTTAGCGGAGCAACGTCACTGCTGTTTCGGAGATTGGTATTTTTTAACGAATCTACGCATATATTAAATTTCGAATACAGCACAGGTGGGACCTTCTTCCGTCATTTAAAGAAGAAAAAAAACATGCGTTTAGCTTTTCATTTGTCATAATAATGTAAAAAAAAGTCTTAATCAGGAGAAAGATACCACATGGGATTTCAATTTTGGTAGATTCGTAATAACTCTTTTTCACCTTTAGTTAGCTTCTTATTGATCAATCATTTTTTTTTTGTGTAATGTTTTTCGTGTAATGTTTTTCAAGACATGTTTTGCAAACTATTATTTGTTTTTTTTTTCACAATGGTCTTTTTCCCCTTCGACTTTTGATGCCTACCTCTTTTGAAAACAAAAATTACAACAAGTAATCTAACGATTAGTCTACAGATTATTATTTGTTGGAAAATATGGCCTTACTTATTCCCAGCTTTTATATACCAAGTTATGTAAGAAACTAGTCTGGACCAAACCAGAAAGTTACTTAACCGTGTGCTTTATAAAAAAATAAAGAGTGGATGCAAACTAAAATGTTGATTTAAAACAACAAAAAGCTATGAACAAATTTCTCTTCCCTAAAATAATTCATTGTTCAAAAGGACTTGAATTTTCCGAAACAATGTGTATAAAGTAGAAATAACATCCTTCCACCCTCCAGTACAGTGGTTTTCCAAATGAAATAATCTCTTTACGTTTCTTGTTTTTCTGAGAACCCTTTCTTACAAATAAATGAAACGCATAAATGTGTATCAAAGACCAACATGGAGTGTTTGGACTTAAAAGTCGACAATAAGTTTTGTGAGGTTTTCGGTTAGTATCACATTTCCGCTATAAAAATGATATCATTAGCAACAGTTTACTAGTACTCCTCTCTCTTGCTTTTTCTCTTGATTTTTTCACACTGGGTTTTAAACAAATAAAATATGTTTTGTCAGATGCGTCCAAAGTCTTTATGGTGATAATGATGGACAGTTGTTTAACGTCCAGTGGCTAATGAAATGCATATCTGAACATGATTATGTAATATAAATATTGAACTTACTTTGTTCTAGACTTGCACCCTGAGATGGATAATTAACGTTCTAGTTCACAGGTAACAGTCTGCAAAAAATCATGTCACCCGACCCGGACATAATTATTTCGACTCCGAGTCTTGAAGTGGCTGCGTATTTATACTTTCGACACAGCGATTCGGAGGCCCAACCTTAGCGTGTGTTTACCTGTTGGATGTGAGAACTCTAGGAACGACCATATTTATATACCCCAGTCAACTCTTAGGGTAAACATATTGTAAAGCTGTCTATAATGGTTGAAAACTTAATGTTGCCCTACAGATACCGTTTAGTATTTTCGTTGTTTGGTTGCTAATTGGCATATACCGCATCTCCTTATTTTCATATATTGAAAATATCGATTATGTATACGGTTATAATGCTTATAACTAAGCACGTTAAACGCGGATATCATATTACTCACTTTGGCATTGTAATCCTGTGAATCCGTTTGAACAGGTACAGGAAAAACTATTACCTGTCACCGAACAATTCCCACCGTGTTCACATGGGACTCTTGGACATGGCGTTACTTGAAAAGAATACATATAGTAGATGCAGGTACACATAAGAAGATGTCGTATGGATGCTAATGAGACAACCCTCCACCAGAGACCAAATGATATAGAATGTGTATATTTGAATTAGCAGAAAGAAACCGAGGTGCAGTAATTAAGTTGCCCAAAATAGTCATTTCGCCTTCGTTTTTAGAATCTCCAATTCTGTGTAACAGGTAAAACGTATGAATGTATAGTTGAAAGTTTCTGAATAATGCAAAACTTGTAATTTCTTTTTTTATGTGAATATTATTCGGTTATGGTGGTTGTTCATTCATGTTTCTTAATTTTAGTTTCTTCACAAATAGGTATTTATGGCAGCCTTCGTTAGACGTGTTTTGATATTGATGAAATTCAACTGAAATAATAAAAACGATTCTCCTATTCTGTTATGAATAGAAAGAGATGTCTGGTATGCGTCAATGGTAATGTAATAAAATGACAAAAATAACAAAAGACATCCAAATGGCAACAAACAGGCTTCCATAATAAACAGACTTCTACACAAAATACCAAATCAACTGTCCCTAGTCTATATAAAAGTAATGAATGTATAACAACAACAAGCATTGCACAAGGTCATGCTTTTTTTATTCTATCTTTGACGTATTCACACTAAAACATTGGAGGTGTACTATTTGACATTAAAGTCTTTGAGATTATGGGTTATTTGTAGTTGAATTTGGGCTCTGAACTAGTATTTATATTCTGCTAATACCCTTGAGCTGTTGTTTGTGCGTTTTATTATCTGTGTTTGTGCTTTATACAGATCTTACATGCATGAGTTAAGCCCCTTTCGAATTATTTTTAACAATTTAAAAAAATGTTCCTTTGTTTTGTTAAACACAACTGACCCAGGTAAAGGGGGAGGTTTGAACGCTAACCAACATGTTAAATATCGCATTATTTGAATATGTCTGTCACTATAGTTATCAAAGGTACCAGGCTTATAATTTTATACGCCAGGCGCGCGTTTCGTCTACATAAGACTCATCAGTGACTGTCAGTTCGAAAAAGTTTGAAAGCCAAAACAAGTACAAATTTGAAGAGCATTGAGGGCCAAAAATTCCAAAAAGTTGTGCCAAATACAGCTAAGGTAATCTATGCCTGGGATAAGAAAATCCTTAGTATTTCGAATAATTCACTAGCCTGGAACAGTTATCTACTGTTTACTGTTGGTTGCTGTCAGTTATATTTGTTTTTCGTTCATACTGCAGGTTTAATCAAATATTTCATAACTGTTTTCCACAAAACTACTGAACAGGATGATTTCTCTGATGTATGAGCATTTTTCGTATCTGTCATATACCTGTTTCCTGTTTGTTTTTATTTTGGTATGATTGAACACAAATTTCTCATGACTTCTATCAGTAATGCAGCTGAACAGAATGACTTCATATTTGGTTAGCCACTCAACCATCATGACCAAGATGAGTTGTGTCTGCAATTTTGGATGCCTCAAAATGTGTATATACTTCCTGTTTTCGGATACTTTGAATTGTGAATTTTCACGTGCCTAGCAAACCAACTGATTTATTCTTATTTGTATATAGAAGGAATCAATGTATATCTATTGAACTTATGATTTGTAATGTTAAAAAACTTGAAACTCAATTTAAAGAACAGAAAATTTTATATTAATATGATATAGATATCAACCAAAACATCTTCTAAAACATTTTGTAAACATTTTGCAGGCACTTGAAAGAAAATATCCCAAAAACATTTGTAAAACATTATTTGATGTTCATAATGTTTTTCAAACGTTTAGAAAATATTTTGAGAAAATATTTGTGAAATAATTATCAAAATATTTTATACGCCATTGTTTTTGCGATATTTTTACAACCATACACCTTTTTTTTTTTGCATACATTTTTTGGCGATATTTTCATGGCAATTGACATAAAAATATTTTTGTGTTTGCTGGGACATTACAATATTAAATTGATAACCTCTTTGAATTGGTCAGTGTATTCAAAGGATCAATAAGTGAAAAGGAATCGTACAAAAATGTATCTAAGTTTATGAACTCTATAAACAACATGACAGTTAAAGAATGAGACATTTCGTTTGTAATACGTTTTCTACGAGTTCATTCAAATTGTTGAACCAAATGTGTGTAGGTATAAAATAATTAAGTAAAGGTTAGCAGTTATTAGTGGTAACGAAATCCCGGACTTAATGATTTACCAGTGATACATAGATACATTTCTTTAAAATCTGTAACGCCAATACAGACACAGGCGTAGCGAACGAGGTCCTGATGGATATTTGTTTAATAGGCAATCTTATTATACGTCAGTTATCTTTTTCTATATACGTCGCAGAATTTCAACTGCAGCTACGGGATTGGAGAATGTAGAGAATACCGCGGGAGTTACGACGTCGCGTTTTACCTATTATATCTAGGGTTGACGTTAGTGCGGGACGTAGCCTTAGGATTCAGAATATATATGAAGGAAACGTAAAACAGTATGGTTGTGTTTCTCCTTTTTATGTTACGATAGTTGATTAAGCCCCGACATTTATTGTCTGTTGCCTCTTTCGGTATAATAAAACACTTACTGACTGGATATTCGTGGAATAGTAAGTTTAATGTCCCTTCGGATACAACTATTGACCCCGGCTACGCCTCAGGGCAATTGTTGCTACTCGGGGGACAATAAACGTGCTATTGCACTAATACCCAGTCAATAAGTATAAAATATCACATCTCCTTATACTATAATAAAGATATCCGATAAAAACATATTTTCCAAAAAACAACATTAAGATACAATGTAGGTTATTTGGCAACAACGGACGATGATCCTGACTTAGGACAGGCACAAAAAATGGTTAAACTAGGTTTTGTTAGACCATAACTATCCCCCTTCTAAAATACAATGAGAAGATAATTAAAACGCTCATAAAAGAACATATTATGATAAAACCAAGTACAGTATAAGCACTTAACTCTAAAATCTTTTATCCATTTGGAAACTTCTAAATTGAAGTTGTGGCATGTTAATCTGATCTATATGTTTATTAATTGATTGATTTGTGGAATTATTGATTAATTGTTTGTAGCTTGTTGATCATCCAGTGGCAAAAATTGTTAGCTTATTTAGAACCATAAACTTATAAAATGAACAACTAATACAATTGAAAAGTTCTGTAGTCAGCTGATGAATATAAAGGAAAGGCATATATGAATATATAATTTTGGTGTTTGATGGAATATAAAAAAAGAAAAATAGATTGCTATATTTCGTAAGCTTACATGCACAATTTTCACCAATGAATCCATTTTTGCAAGCACATTTTGGCTGAAATTCATCAAGAAAGCACGTCCCACCATTGTCACAGCTATAGTTATCGCATGGAGTACCTGATATAAAAATCAAGTAATAGGTTAAAATAATTCTAGAAAGTAAAACCATTTGACGATCGTATATTGTCTTTTAAATATTTATTTTCTTTCTTTGTGTGTTGTTATGATAAATTCTAATAGATGGATATTTCATAATTTTAAGAAAACCCCATCATGATCACAGCTATAGTTAACGCATGAAGTACCTGTCATAATAATCAATCGACCTGATCAGTTAAGCCCTTTTCAACTGATTTTTACTATTATAGTTTGTTCTTATGTTGTGCTGTAGCACCACTGTCCTAGGTTAGGGGCTGGTTGAGCGCTAACAAACATGTTTAATCCCGCCACATTCTTTATGTTCCTGTCCCAAGTCTGGAGCCTGTAGTTTAGTGTTTTTCGCCTGCCAAAACTGTATTATGTTTTTGAAAACAATATGCATTTACAGATGTTAACTTAACTTGATTTATAGAATTTGTGTCTCTTGAAATAAAAAAAAAGCGATGTCTATCAATTGAGCGTAATTATTTGAGTCAATGTTTTCTTTTAAATGATAATGCAATTGAATTTCTATGTACACATAATAACCATTATAAAATGATCAAGAGCAACTGTGTCACTACGTCATGCCATCAAACTGACATTGTCTTTATCAAAAGTGAATGCAGGACTTTCTTTATAGGCATTTCATTTATGGATTAGTCTTAGTGATATATGGACTTATTTATAATTTTATATTCATAATTTAGGAAATTTTAATAAATTGTATTTTGGACGTAAGATGACACAACGGTGCAATGAAATGGTAGAAATTGTAAACAATGTATAAGTTTCCTAATGTTAATAATGCAATTTTAAGTGAGAAATTATCTTTTGTTAATTTACAGTTCAATTTAATAAATTTAAAATCTGAGTTACAACTTAATTGCATTCCACAGCAAATTTTGTTCCAGCTGTTTACATCAAATACTACCTAAGTAATTTAAACTTAAATTGAAATCAAAAAGTTATTTCTTATTTCCTGTTTCAATTGTATTGGTATTTTTGAAATAACCATTCTTACTTACGCTGGATACAGTAATTTTAAATTTGGTAAGGGTATAAGCTAAAGATTTAATTTATATTTAGTTTTGTTTTTCTTTTTTCTTCTTTTTGGCATTGTTTTGATATTTTTTATTTTTCTTGTATTTTTAAAGTTCTAATCATTAAAGTAATGGCATTAACGGTATAAATTTTACTGCGCCAATAAACAATTAACTTATTTTGATTTTTTATTTATTTTAAAATTCAACTTTCAATCAATAATCCATTAAAAAAATGAAAACAACACGTTATAAATTCCATGCGTCAGAAGCGCTTTTCTGGATTTACCTGCACCAGGAACGCTCAACGCCAAATTTGTGAAAGCCAAGGATGTATAAGAACTGAAACAGTTGAAGACCTATACGACAAAAAAAGACCTAAAAATTAGCCAAATCCATATAAAGTCAACTTTGCCTGAAGGAGTTAAAACCTCAGTTTCTTATCAGTTTCAAAATTTATAAAGGACTTATAAATGTGCTTCGTGGCATTTGTGACTCATTTATATTTCTTTGTTTTGAACTGTGAATATGCCTAAACAATAGGATAATCCCTTACTCAGAACATGATGTACATTCATTCATCACAATTATGGAACATCAAAGTCTACATTTTCATTGGCAGAGAGCACTTTGACTTTTTGAAACTAAATATTAGCACATACTTACAACTTCTCGTCCAATCAAATTGCTTGAATTTGCCTTCTAATTTTCATAGTACATACTTTTTCCGTGTACTAAGTAAATCTGCATGAATGACCACAAGGGGTAAGATTTCATCGTATTGCAATCAAGATATTAAAACAAAAATTGCCACTGGCTATTTTGGAACAAATTGCTGTGTCCCAAATTGAAAAAAGTTTGGTATTAGTTTTCATATTGATTTTTAAATACCAGGCTATTAAAATATTTGGATTTAAAAAATATTTTTGACAATTCTAAGTTTCTTTCATTTGAATAAAGTATAACAAATATTGTCCTAAACATTGATTAGAGTACAACGCTATCTTATAATTGTGGTAATTTATCATCCATGCAATTACTATGTACACAAAAAAGTGTGTACTATGAAATCTTGTGAAGGGAAATTAAGGCAACTTGATGATGATTTTTTTATAACTTTCTTTAGGAAATTGATCTATTTTATCATGAATTGAAAAACCGTGGTAATATCTAAAGGGAATGTGCCACGTATATATATATATTTGTTGCACCTTTTGTTTGCGGTAAGGGTTTAAGAACATCCGTTGTTCGACTTGCTAGTCAAATGCGTTTTGTTAAAATATACTTTTTCACGTTTTTAGTTTTTTGGAAAATTTTGTTTGTGCTTTACCAAGAAATTTATTTTGCATGCACACGTATAAAAATTGCGATTATTAACCAACGCAATCAAAGGTTTAAACGTTGTTTTTATTTTGAAAAAAAAACCCAAAAAAACCTATATTCTTTGATTTATTGGTAGTTGTTTCTAATGCCTATCCGGTAGACTGTCTATGGGAATATATATCTATATGTTTATCTTTATTATAGCATTAGTTTTACTGTGAAATTGAAAATTATTTTTAAAACATGTACAGCTTCCACTGCAATTTAATTATACATGCCTGCTTATGGCCAATTTATTTTGTCGTCTTACCGTTTAAAGAAGTACACGTATTAAAACATCGCTTTATATCAATATAAATACTAACACCAGCAGCTACCATATTTTCATTCTGGAGTCAAGGGCCTTTTGAAATCACATATTTTACTATGATGCTAGTGGGTAAATTCACTAAACATAAAATTTAGTTAATTAACTCCGTTTTACAAACACCTGTGATACAAGTACAGCCAAAATAAACTGTCAATAGACCAATTAAAAGATTACTTGAGTTGTAAATATGTGCTAAATTGGATAGTCTATAAAAAAGTATATACTCGCTCTAAATTTTATAGTACATACCTTTTCATAGACTAAGCGATATGTATTTGTAATTTAGGCTCACATATAATGCGACTTATTAAGAAAGGAACTGTACTTTTGAAGAGTCGTGACAACAATAGTTTAAGTACGAGACATAATGGATGAGCGTTAGTACGTTGAAGGGGCATAAGCTGTTCATATTCATCGATTTGACTCAAATTTTCATATTTAATTTATAACATATATATTACTAAACGGAATATCTAAATTTAACTCAAAAACGGAAACGCTTAAAAGTAACTGGAAATTAATCAATTTTTATGACCACTTCAAAGATCTTCGACCGGAAATGAATTTTGATTTTGACAATGAATCAACTGAAGAAAGTAATTGTTGTGTTTTCGATGAGCTTGATGCTGAAATAACAAATAATGAAGTTAAGCAGGTTATTAAACTATTGAAGCGTAGTAAAAGTCACGGACTTGACCTTTTGTTAAACGAGTATTTCATTGAACTTTGCGACTTTTTGCTTCCATTTATAGTCGAGTTATTTAACGCTGTTCTCGAGAATGAAAACTTTCCAAAGTCTTGGTGCGAAGCAATAGTCATATCGGTTTATAAAAATAAAGGGAACGTAAATTTTACTAATAATTACAGAGGGATAATCCTCTTGAGCAATTTAGCCAAGTTATCCACAGCTGTTTTAAACCAAAGACTGCTAAAGTGGGCATGTACAAACGACATTATAAGTGACGAAAAATTGGGATTTAGACAAAGTCATGGCACGGCAGATGCAATATTCGTACTGCACTCTCTTATAAATAGGACATTATCAGATAAGAAACGACTCTACTGCTGTTTTGTGGACTACAAGAGAACGTTTGATAGCATAAATTGTACAAAACTTTGGATGAAGCTTTCACATGTAGGAATCCGTGGAAAGTTATTGACAGTTGTGCGTTCTATGTACGAAGTGACAAAATCTTGTTTTCGTTTCAACGGTTCGTACTCTGAACTTTTTGAAGATCAAATTTTTTTACCACAAGGTGAGGTTTTATCGCCTATATTCTTCTCTTTTTATGTCAATGACTGTTAAATGTTCTTCTTAATCGATGGATTCATCCCTCTTGAGCTGAGAGATTTAAGTCTTTTTCTTCTAATGAATGCGGATGATGTGGTGCTTTTTTCGTAAACCATACAAGGTCTACAGTCAATGCTGAATTCATTAAAACTATATACTGTAAAAAAACGATTTTACAGTTAACATTGACAAAACTAAGGTAGTTGTGTTTCGAAAGGAGGTCTAGTCAAGGATTATAAGAGATTGGTCTACAATAACTAGAGCGTAGAGACGGTCGATGACTTCTGTTACTTGGGATTTAATTTTAAATGCAATGGAAATGTTGTATTTTCACAGAAAACGCTGGCATAACAAGGTCGAAAATCAATGTTTGCCATGTTATCAACGTCAAGGAATTACTATTTAAACACTCAAACTCTCCTGTCTCTATTTGTTGTGTACGTAGGTAGTGTAATTTCATATGCATGCGAAATCTGGGGATTCTATAAAGCTGATGATGTCGAAAAAGTCCACTTGCATTTCTGCTATGATATACCTGGAACTAGGAAGACTTCCAATGATTATTTCAAGGAAAATTCAAATTTTTGAATATTGGTTCAAAATACTGTCAACAATAACTGTATTTAAAGCTCCGTACATAAAGAAATATGCATCGATATTGATCGAAAGCGTTCAAAAACTGAAGATTGGGCAACGTTAATTAGAGATGAGCAAAACAACATTGGACTTGGAGATATGTGGTTTAAACAGTCAGAGCTCGTATTTGAGATTGATTTTCCTCTGATTAAGCAACGACTTTTAGATATTAAAAAACGTCAGATGTATTCGTTAATTGATAGCAGTAGTAAGTGTCGTATCTATAAATACATTATAAACAGCTTTGATTATAATTTTATTTGACGAGGTATATCCCTACTGTACATGTGTACCGGACAGCACTATCTAAAATAAGACTTTCTTCGCATTCGTAATCAGTTGAAACTGGACGATATCAAAGCGTTTAGTTGTCACGTCGTACATGTATAATTTGCCGTCAGTGTATTGAAGACGAATTTCATTTTATCTTAGTGTGTCCAAAATATAAGGAACTTAGAGTAAAATTCATCAACAAATATTACTGGTCTAGGCCAAGTGTGTTTAAATTCATTGAACCTTTGAGTATAAAGAATACCAAACAGTTAACCAATATAGGAAAAAAACATTTTTACTGCTTTTAAAATCAGAGATAACATTATAACATGAACATTATTTATCTGTTTAAATGTTTACTTTGAAGTTTTTATATTGCTACCGATAAAATGTAAAGTTCATGCTAATACAGAATTTGAATTAAGAAAGCCAAAATGCCAGAGAAAACGACGGGGAAATCAAACAAAGTGTAGTAGTCAGTCGACAACCAGCTTTAGTTTTTCAGAGCCATAAAATTAAATTTACTTTTGTCATAATCATAACGTCACGATGACGTCATGAATATCACGTCATTGCTTCAAAATAAACTTAATGGTCATGACTCATAAAGTATTTAGTGTATTAAAATTTGCAATGTTTTGATTTATAATGCATGATTATTGGAATTGATGAAACTCAGTCATGTTATTATGACCAATATGTTGTAATAACAATGATACGAGTCATTTTGAATATCGGCATAATGAAAATGTATTCGATGACGACTTTTTTTTATCAAGACACTACATACACAATTATTGTATTTTAATGGCGCTTCGTAATCTTCAACAGGGTATTTGAATACAAGTTTTAAATGATTTGAATTTATTACAATACAAACAATTTTTGCTCTCTTTCAGAAAATGTCATCTAAATTTGTTGTAATGAAATTTGTCAAAGAAAGCTCTAATTGAATGATGTTTAATTGTCATTTCGAAGTATTTGTGACGAAAAGGATTAACACTTTACCTTGGCTTCTATTTTGCTGGCAACTTAGTTATCGTTTGAAGTGAAAAATATTTAAATCTACATATTAAATGGATAAAAAAAAAATATCAAAATTCTCTGCTCTATAGATTTTCCTAAATGGAATCTAAAACTTAGCATAATTAATGCTTAAATGAGATTTTAATTTGTGAACTACTGCTTATAAACTGTTACACTTCCCATGCTATGTGATGTAGAGACATGCATCATAAATGTCAGCTAAAAGACAAATTTATAAAAAAGATAAAAAGTTTTGTTTGACAAATTTTATACTAACTTTATTACAACTAGTTTAAATTACATTTTCTTACGACTTCAAGGATAAATACTATGCCTGGTCTTTTCTGTTTAATTATTTATGAATTATTGTACATCGCATACACTGGCGTCAATCGTTTGTTACCAACCGACTGTCCCTAGTATAGATAAACACATCTTCTCTCTTCAAATCCTTTTAAGACGCTTTTATTCTTATTTAGGTTACAATATTTCAAGTTCATGACACAAAAGCGTTGAAAATAATGTATGCTTTGAGGGGGGTTATTTAAAAGTGGCTACGACTTTATAAAAATAAGAATATGTGGTATGATTGCAAATGAGACATCTCTCATATATATAAAACATCCTGAAAATATACCCATTCATATATATGACATCCTGAAAAACAGACCCATTCCAGCTTAATACCTATCACACCTTTATATTATACTTTTTTTTCATACAATAATCTGGAATTTCTATGGGATATTTAAAATGTGTTATTTCGGTATATTCCGAACTAACCCCGCCCCCTTAACAATGTTTAGTAGCCCTGATAGTTCACCCCGATATATCACTTCCGGTGACCGGAAATTGCGTTCTCAATACGTATGCACAGTTGGCATAAAGGAGTGATATATTGAAAAGTGTATTCAGTATAATATAACACATACTGCCTTAGTATCTTGTGTTACGCCGGAATAACACTCTCTATTACAGGCAGTTTGTGTATATTATTATACTGGGATAATATATCCCAGCTAATCCTGCAATTTGATTTCCTACCTTGACAGTGTATGTATGAGCCTATATATACTGTGAACAAAAATGAAAAAAAAATTATAATGGTAATCAAAATTTGAAATGAGGGCAGTCGAGTATAATATAATTGTTATTCGGACTCCACAGGGAAGATCAAGAAGAACAAATAATATATGGGAAGTGAAAAACATGGTAGATGTATTGCAAGTTGTAAGAGAACTGACAATTCTCCTTTCTGGTACACAGAAATTCGTTCACCTCAGTTTTCACGGGGTCCGTGTTCTTTCTATTGTCCCTTTATTTCCCTTATTCTTGACTAGAACTTTGGTTTCCTGCCCTTTCTGCTGACCTAGTGACATTTTGAGCAAAACAATCCTGAATTAAACCATGATTTAAACCTGCCTACTAGCAAGTCTAAATTAAACCAAGATTAAACTGGTATTTAAACCAAATTTAATTTAAACCACTTTTATGAATACGGTTTAATTTCAAACTTATTTTAAATTTAAACCACCTAAATGAATACGGGCCTTAATTTGTAAAGTCAGATACTTTTGTTCCTATGGTGTGCCGTTACACCACTGTCCAAGGTTAAACGAAGCATAGGGGGCGTGCAAACATGTTTTACCCCGCCACATTTTGTATGTGCCTGTCCAAAGTCAAAGACCTGTAATCCAGTACTTGTAGTATGTTACTGTATATAATATATGTCCTTCGTTTGTTGTTTTGTATATAAATCAGGACGTTTGTCTTTTTCATTTAAGTTCATTCACATTTTGTTATGTCGGGGTCTTTTATGTCTTGATATGTGGTAAGGGTTATGCTCATTGTTGAAAGCAGTCCGGAGAATTATAGTTGCTAACATCTACGTCATTTGGTCTCTAGTGGATAGTTTTCTCATTGACAATCAATACAACATCATGACCTTTTGTCCTGATAATAGCATTGAAATTTCTAAAAGCATTATAATATTTGCGAAAATGTGCGAGCTTTAAAACAAATATGCATATATATCTACCTTTATATTCACTCCAAATAAATAGGCTTACGAATATCACTGTAGTGGACAGAAATAAACATGCGGCAATTTTCAATTTCCGATTTGTACTCGACGAAACTGTTGTTTTCGTAGATGACTTGTCCATACCTTTATACCTAGAAAATAATCTATTAATGGTACAGTGAATGAGCATTTGACTTTAATTTTGCTACAAAATTTGCTCTCTTGAGTTTATGTAGGACTCATTAAATATACCGAGGTTATAATTTAATACGCCAAACTCGATTATTTCTTCTTAAGACTCATTGGTGTCGCTTGGATCAATAGATATAAGAAGATGTAGTTTGAGTGCCAATGAGACAACTCTCCATCCAAGTCAAAATTTATAAAAGTAAACCATTATAGGTCAAAGAACGGTCCTCAACACGGAACCTTGGCTCACACCGAACAGCATGCTATAAAGGGCCCCAAAAAATTACTAGTGTAAAACCGTTCAAACGGGAAAACCAACGGTCTAATCTATATAAAAAAAAACGAGAAACGAGAAACACTTATGAACCACATCAACAAACGACAACTACTGAATATCAGATTCCTGACTTAGGACAGGTGCAAACAATTGCAGCGGTTTTAAACGTTTTAATGGTACCAAACCTTCACCCTTATCTTAAACAATAGTGTAACTTCACAACAAGGAAAGACACACTATAAAATATCTATTGAAATGGCTTTACTCAATCAAAAGCCATATTAACACCAGTGAACATACCCTGAAGAAATAAATTTGATCTATGATACAATGTAAATACAAAATGAATAAACTAAGAGAAGAATAGTCAAAGTAACATGTAAGCACAGTTTGAAAAAAAAAAAAAATGTGAAGTTGAAAACATGTTGTTTTTAATTCTTGACTGTAATTTGGTAGTGTTTCCATGAATTTTTATTGAAATATTTCTTCCTTACTCGAAAAACAATTTCTTCAATTAAGTATTGGTTACTGGATGTCATACAAACAATCAATCAATCAATGATCAGTCATTATGAAATATGCGTCTCTTTATGTTATGCAAAGTATCAATCAATAAATAAATCATTTCATTAATCAACCGACCAATACATCTACCAGCCAACCAAACAATCATTTAGAAGCATGTTAAACTAAAAGAATATGAAATGACCTTCATCAGCAATCGTTTGCTAAAACAGTTATTTGCTTAAACAATTATCTTATATTTATTGGTAGCAATGGCGTTAAAGATTTCAATGTGCAAAGAAAAAAGTAGAATAACAAAAATATCGAACTCCAAGAAAAATTCAAACAGAAAGTCCTTTATCAAATGGCAAAATCAAAAGCTCAAACATATCAAATGAATGGAGAACAACTGTCATGTTTCTGACTTGGTACAGGCATTTCCTTATGTAGAAAATGGTGGATTAAACAAACCTGGTCTTATAGCTAGCTAAACTTCTCACTTGTATGACAGTCGTATCTATAATTAGATTAGACTTTTTAGATGATCCCTTACTTAAATGTCTCTTTAACAAAAATATCAAAAACATCATCTTCAAATATATATTTCCAGAATAAAAAAAAAAACCAATAAAAAATGTAAAGTGGGGATGTTGGAGGTCTGTTATAACAATCTCTACCTATTGACCAATTGACAGGCGTTCCAAAAAATAAAATATCAAAACGATACATTCTCTCCAAAGTAAATCCATATGAGGAATTTACAAGACATGATGTTGCGTAATATGTAAAAGTTTGAGAATTAAGTTTCTCTAATTATCATGCTATTTTCACATTTCTCAATCGTTGTGAGAAAAATATTTCTCATCTCTAGAGAAAACTTTGTTCTAGGCAATTGGTTAGTCGAAATGCAATCATGACGTCAAATGTTCTTGATTTCTAATAAATTTCCTTTTGTGACGTCATAAAAGAAGGCGACCATGCCTGATGAAGTCACATATAAAGAATACAACTTTCTGCAAATCTTTGAAAAGGAAGGATAGACCTTCTTTGGATATCGTCCAAAAATCATTAGAGAAACAGATTCCACCACTATATCTCGTGAATTTCGATATTCCTCTACTCTCAACAGTTAAATTTTAAATATTAAAAAAGCTCGACAAGCCTCGCGTTTTAAATCTTAACATTTAACTATTTCGAGTGGAGAAATATCGTAACACACTTGATGAAGTGATGGAATCTATATATTTCTTGGAGTCGGCTGTTTGAGATCAAGAGTAATATACTGGTGAATTCATTAAGATCTTCAATAGAGAATTTCACAATCTTCTATCATAAACTGATTGTACCTGTAATTCAGACATTCATCTTAGAAAACATCTCCGTTTAGATGGTCACACTACAATATTTCAGATCTTGTGTTTCTTCTCATGAAGTCCTTGATAGAAGGTTGCTGCTTACAAGGAAGCTTTTGAACAAAAAAATTCCTATTGGTAAAGTTTGTGTCATCCATTCGAATATTAAAGGAAGTAGTCATGATTTGGTTGACTGCTATTGAATATATGTGTCATAGATGACCACGAATATGTTTCAATTGTCGTTACCACAATCCCATTTTCTTCTTTTTAAAAAAAAAGAGTGTATCTATAGGTAAGTTTGTCAATTGAAAAATCCAGTGAGTTTATAAACATTTGCATATGACTAGATAATACTCATGAGTGAGAACTCCTGTCTTCTACTATAATTATTCATTTTCATGAGTTTGATCCTCACATTGCTTAACTTTGAAGGAATATTTTTTTATATGAAGATATTTAGTTCATTTCATCTCAACTTAATTGCAATCTAATACTTTTGATTTAGTATAATAATTCCTTTATTGTTTTAAGTTTAGACTACTTTCTAATCTTTTTCCTGAATTTATTGTAAACATATATTAGGTAATATATGTATTTGTAAAAGTGATTAGTTCAGCATTTGCCAATTATATCTAACCAAATTCTATTAGTTTGATCCAACAGATTCATAGACCTGAAGAATACAGTGAATGTCATTTCTGATGAAACAAAACAAAAATTTGGAAGAAAGCTTTATGTTAACTTTTCATTATTTATCACAATTATTTAGTGACTGAATAAATTTAACCTCAAATTATAATTAACCCAGGAAAAGACAGTGAAAAATGATTAAACATCATTAAATGCAATATATATAGAAATAATTTCCAGCAATTATTTTGAATGTCCCTTTTGGTCATAACTCCTAACATTTCTACGGGTTTTTTTTTTCACCCCAGGATGTAAATGTCTGGTTTGAGCGTTCCTGGTGAAGGAAACCAAGGAGAAGTGTTTCTGGCACATGAAATGCATAAAGTGTTATAATTTTTATTTATTGTTCTTTTATGCTCTCCATTTCAACATTAAATTATCTACATTTCTAAGAGTTTTATTTTTCCTCCAACATCTTTTTCAGGTCAAAAAATTAAAGATTGTGTAAAGAGTATAGTAACTATTCTTCTAATTTTGATCAGACGAAAAGTGAAACATTAGACTCAACTTCAAAAGAAATTTTTTTTTCAAATTGAGTGTAAGGGATATAATGCTTGACATTTGTATAGCTTACTAAAAGTCAATTCACTGACATCTGAAGTATGAGTATTAATGATATATTTTGTGTAGTTTTGAATTTAAGGTGATATTGCCTACAGTCTCTTCTATAAATGGTCAGGGATAAAGCAGTAACCATTTTATCTTTAGTAAAGATGATTTGTTTTTGCGGACAAACTAGTTTTGTGTCGACTTTATGAAAAAAATAAAATCATCTCTTTTTGCTCATAACATACAAGAACATGTATAATTAATTTCTCAAATCATTCTAAATTACTGTTTACACTAAAGAAAAGCTGATGTATATGGCAGAAAAGAAATTGACAAATCAAACTGACCTATTACAATTGAGGAACATGTATACAATTGATTTGCATGGTCGTCATTTTGAAAGATAGAAATTTCTTTATTAGTAATTATTTGGTGGAACTTTTATCTTATATAAATTACATGCTAAGCTGATTTAGGGTGATGTACACACTAAGTGTCTGCAGTGATAAGCTAATTGTACATGTATCAAGTCTGAGTTAAATTTTGTATATGTAGAATGAAATTGTCTTACCTTTTTATTATTGAAGACCTTTTCAAAGTATCCTTTTTTAGCAAAGATCTGTTTTCCTTTTTTTAAAGATAAATTAAAACAGTAAGCAGCAACCGTAGAATTTATGTAGTTTGATGAGAGTTACTTTAACATTATCAATTTATACAACGAGATTCAGTTGACTGCATTTTAGGTATGATGTTATTATTGGTTAATGATATTTAAACGGAAAATCTTAAGGTCCAATTTTGATGATCAAGATCCATTGCATTCTTTCTTGTTGTGGCCTTTGGTTTCCATTTCAATGTTTGGTAATGGTGATGCAGTTTGAGCAGCAAAATAAGATTTATTTTTCTGATTTTTTTTGTTGCATTTACGGTTATAATGGTTTAATGTTTAGATACCATACACTTAGGTACATTCATCGTATTTAGTGTCAACCAGTAGTTAATTGTCTTGATGACTTTTTGCAATCATGAGAAAATCATATTTCCTTTTGATGTTTAGCAATTTTTTTCACAGACCCATGATATTGTCATATTATTTATCAAGCATCGCCGTTCAAATTTTGTCAAATGGATACTAGTTCAACCTTTATCAAAATCAAATATAGTTTTGCACATGATAAAACGTATTTCAGGTTTTTGTGTAGCAAAAATAAATATTATACATAGCGTTGAAACTTTGCAGCTCGCTATGCTTAATCGTAATTATTATTTCTTTTCTTCAGTTTAACAAGATAAAGGCTTTTACAGGTTAATAGGGGTTTTCTTTTTAAAAACAAAGATGCATTTTTCATACCCTCCCCCCCTTCCCCCCCAAGCAAACGATGGGCGTTGAAAAAAGCAGCACATTGGGAAATAGAATCGATGTTTTACCTGTTTGTACTGGCAAAATGGTATAAATGTCATGGTATTTTAATGTCTATGCATTAACCATATATGTAGCTGCAGACAAGCCCGCCCCCTTGTGCTCCTCCTGCCCCCCCCCCCCCCACCTTTCCCTCCTCCGAAAATTAGAATAGCAATCCGCCTTTGACTTCATAAGTTGAAGCCTGGCAAAACAAATAATTTGATCTAAAGTAAATCGATCATTTGAAAATTTATAATCGGCTACTGCTTTCTGTTAGTTCCTTCAATTTCCTCTAAATTCAGTTGAACACTGTTTAAATGTCGTTCGAAGTATTTGTGAAATACCCTTTACCTTGGCTTCTTTTTTTGCTGGCAAGTACATGTATTCTGAAAAAGTTTAACGTTATATTTTAAAAGGTTTGAAGCGAAAATTATTTAATACTGCGCATGCCCTGTAGATTTTCATGAAAAGAATCATTAAATGTATCATAATAATGTACCGTATCCAATTCTTATATGAGATGGTATTTGTTTAAATACTTATACATGTAAATTGTTATGCTTCGCATGATATGCGTCGTAGAGTCATGAATCATGCAATTAAGTTAAACAAAATATCATATTTAAGCTTTTATTGAGACAATGTTTTACTAACTTGATTAAAACAAGTTTAAATTACATTTTCTGAAAAAGAGCAAAACAATGTTTGTATTTTAATAATATTTTATTTCAAATTTGTATTCAAATATGCAGTTGGAAAATACTAAGCACCAATACACTCATTCCATTGTTATTACAACATATCTGTAACTAATAACTTGAAAGAGAGTTTCGTTTCAGTATAAACATTATGTACTAGATACATATACATATAGAGAGGTGCATTCAAAACTATCAGCAACAGTATAATAATCACCTTTTTCTGATGGTTGTGGCCTGTTATCTTTTTCTGGAAAGAATATATATTTCTCGAAACACACTGATATGAGTGATACAAACAATGAGTTAAACCTGATTGGCTTATCCATCATCATGACACGATATTGCCACATTTCCATTGGCTATTCGTTAGGTCATCGATGAATTGCAAAGGTTGAGACAATGTACATACGGCCAGGGCAACGGAGATATGTTATTTTTTCAATAATTAACAAAACACCAATACTTTTCATTTGCAAATCTTTTTGTGTCAAATTTTATTGCATTCTGAACCGTACAATTGTTATTTTTAAATGTCTGATGTTAAAAGAGGGACGAAAGATACAAGAGGGACAGTCAAACTCATAGATCGAAAACAAACCGACAACGCCATGGCTAAAAAAAAAAAAGACAAACAAACAAATAATAGTACACAAGACACAACATAGAAAACTAAAGACTAAGCAACACGAACCCCACCAAAAACTGGGGGTGATCTCAGGTGCTCCGGAAGGGTAAGCAGATCCTGCTCCACATGTGGCACCCGTCGTGTTGCTCATGTTATTACAAATCCGGTAAAGTTTAATGACGTCATACTGGTGTGCCGGTGCAAAAGACTAAATCAACGATTCACGGAATTTGCAAGTTAACACAATAAGAATGTTTACCATAAGAAAAATAGGTTTAACAACTAATGATAATTGGATATCGCTGGATATCAACACTCGTTTTTTAATTTGAATAGTAATAGTAAACTCGCTCAAGACTAGTTTATTATTATATTGAAATTAAATAACTCGAGTTGATACCAAGCGATAACCTATTCTCACTCGTTATGAAACCTATATTTATCAACACACCTTTCACATTAAAAAACGAAGATAACTATTACCATCGTAAGAGCAAGTCATTAAGACCGATAATTAGCCAAAGGAAATAAAGTTTTTGATTTATTTTTCAAATTTGTACATAATGTGTACAAATGCATAAAATCAAGATGATTCCGCGATAAAAATGATACCATTCGCTACAATGTTTTGGTTTTCGGATATAATTCTGCATATTTGATAAAAATGAGCCCGAAAATAAAACATGCTGCACTGAAGTACAGGTGATAAGTATGCTGGAGCTTGTCATTGACAACATATTTGTTGAATGTGGAGGTAGAATTTTACATCATGTTATCGGCATTCCTATCGGAACAACTGTGCATTTCTCCTGATCGACCTTTTCTTATTTCCATATGAAGCGGATTTCTTTCTATTAAAAATCCAAACTTTTCTGATGGGGTTCAATTGATATATCCTCCCAAACTAGAGATTAAAGAAACCAAAGATACAGCTTTCTCTGTCTCGTTTCTAGGCATTTACCTCGATTTTGACAAAAACGGTCATCTCAGTATTGAATCTATGACACGATTTTAGTTTTGGAATTATAATTTTTTCTCACCTTAACAGCAATATACCCACTTCCCCCGCGTATGTAGTAAACGTCTAGTCCTTTTTCTCTAAACGTTCATCGAAAAGTACCAAAACCCAACAGATAAATACT